GAATAGATACAATCTGCTTCTTTGGTGGAGGATTTCTCGCAATTTTTTCGGACAAAACCTTAGCTTTCTTTTTCCCATGGTAACCTAAGTACATACAGACTTATGTAATATCAAATCAAAATTAACAGTAAAATACAAAAATCCACAAAAAATTCTATCAACTTATTATAGTTACAATCTTATCAGACTAACATAAGTCAGACATCAGTGGTCAAAACTGGACAAACTTGAGTTTCATACAGATAAAGGTTCTCTCCCAACAGTCCCACAAGTTTTTTGTCATCATAAGGCTAGAGCGTGACACAAAAGGCTAAATTAAACTCAAAAATGGCATTTTTCAAAGCCAAAATTGACAAACTAACAAACAGAAGACCCTGAGCTACATATTAAAACCATTTCTTACCTCTGATACACTTCTGCATCACAAATACAGTCCCACAATAAGTGTCGTCTTCTCTGGTCTCTTCGTCCTTAGTAAGGTGCGGTTCACAACTACAGGATGTAGCTGTGAAATTTGTGGTCATATGATTAAGTTTCCTATCCTATTTCATGTACATTATCTATGGTATGACCATGCAAATACGTGTACCTTAAAATAAGAACCACGAATGTTAATTAGCAACAAAAGATTTGTGATCTAATTCACTTAAGTTTATTGCCTCAAAACTTGGTGGCTATACCGTATTTGTTTCTCCTTTTCACATTTTCATTTTATAGTTTATACTAAAGAGTGATTCGTCAGAATGAGTCCTTATCAATAAATGTTAGATTTTCTTTGGTCTACTGACTTTTTACTATTTGTTTCTTCTTTTGTCATTTCCATTGCATGGTTAATACCGAAAGTGTTTGATCTGACTGAGTTCCTATCATGTGACACTTTTAAAACAATGTTTCATTTTGTATTGATTTCTCACGTTTTTTACTTTTCTTATTTACATAGTATAGTTATACCAGAAGTGGCTGATTTGACTGAGTTTGTCATTAGTGGTTTTGAAATGTTATATATGCTACTACTGCTCACTATTTGCTTTCTCTTTTGTCAGTGTCATGGTACAGTTTATGCAAGGAGTGGTTGGTCAGACTAAGTTCTTATCATTTGAAGTTATTTTTTTAAAATGATTTATTTCTAGTCACTTCTCATGTTTTCATTTCTCAGGCTTCTAGTGTAGTATAAACCTCAAATGATAACAACTGGACTTTAAAAGTGAGAAAAAAGAAACAATTACTGAGAATCAGATGTTCATAAAACATCACTTTAAAACAAACAAATGATTAAAACAGTCTAATGACTCCTGGTACGAAGTACAAAATGAAACTGAGAAAATAAAAAACATTAATAGTGAGAAGCCACTAGAAGAACATGAAAAACCATTTCAAACACCAAACTCAAATGATAAGAGCTCAGTCTGAGTAGTCACTTATGATATTTTAAACTATACTATAAAACTAAGAGAAAAAACAAATAGTTTGAAGTCAGTAGTACATGTAACATTGTTTTAAAATGAAACTCACTCAATAAAAACTGAGTTTAATCAGTCACTCCTGGTATAAACTATACTAATAAACTATACTATCAAACTGAGAAAAGAAATATGTAGTGAGAAGTAAACAGTATATAAAACATCATTGTAAACCAACATCAAATAATAAGAACTCAGTCTAAAAAGTCACTCCTTGTATAAATTATACTATGAAACTGAGAAAACAAGAAGCAAATAGTGAGAAGGGGCAGTACATGCAACATTTCAAAACAGACATCCAATGATAAGAACTTAACCTGATCAGTCACTCATGGTATAAACTGTACCAAGAAACTTTAAAAGGATGAAACAAATGGAGAGAAGTAAGCAGTATCAATTTGAAACAACCACAAATAGTGAGCATGTAGTCAGGTCAGCTGATATGAAGTATACTATGAAGCTGAAAAAAAGTTGAAAGTCAGAAAAATAAAATAGTGTAATAAAGTAACATCACATAAGAACTTAGTCAGATCAGTCACTCCTGGTTTAAGCCATACTATGGACCTAAAAGAGAAGCAATTAGTAAAAAGTAGAACATTAACATTTCAAAATTAACCTCAAATGATTACATCTCGTCCGATCAGTTACTCTTGGTAATGGAGGAGGCATGGCAATTATGAGTCACTTAACTATTATAATGCATATCTCCTTAAATAAGTAGTAATGCTTCAACTTTTTGTTACAAAATATCATTCTTTAAGTTCATCAGAATATATTCTAGTTATTACTATTAGCAGTTAAAAAAAATTGGCATGGAGTATTTATGAGACATGGAGCACATTATAAGACAATTATGAGACAGGTTAAAATTCTTTTTTTCACTAGGAATCTGACATCTTTTAATATATACTTGAAATTAATAAAAAACAGTGTGTTTACAGAATAACCAAGCAATTTGATCAGTTACTTTTGATATTCTTCGCCAAAATACACATCAAATCAAAGCAAACATCACATCTATTGCAACGAATCCAAAGATCAGATGAGTTATAATCAGCTGAATAGGCTAAACCACACTTAGGATGTATAGTATTGTCTTCAGATTCAGATAGTTTCCACAGTCAGACTGCGAATTACTTCCTACATTAAAAAATAATGGGTTAATAGTTGTTAGATTTCAATTTAACTTACCAGTTGTGATTGTGACAAATGTTTACATCTACTTTGATTCTTTTTCATTTCTTCATTCCCTCTCCTTTATCTTGCAATTTTTTGCTTCTTTTAGTCTCTTTTTTCCTTCTCTCTGCTTAACTTCTTTTTCTTCTCTTCACTTTGCCTTTGTTGCTTCTCTGAGCCTCCTTTGCTTTTATCTTCTCTTCCTTTGCTTTTTGACTTTCCTTTTGTTTTTGCTCTTTTTCAAGTGCTTCCATTTTACGATTTTCCTGTTTTTGTGGTTGCTTAGCTAGTTTCATCTCATTTTCATCTCTTTTCTCATTTTCCTTTAACTCTGGCATGTCAGTGATTTAGCAACCTCTGGTTGTAACACCTTCCATCTATGCTTTTGTTCTCGTGGAACAGGAAGAACTATATTACTTGGTCAAGGCATCAGAGGAAGCCACTTGCTGCTTATCAAAAGCACTTGCTGAATTTTGCTGGGATGATACTTGTTGATGTCACAGTAGTTGACAGTGCTGTTTTGGGATAGTTAATTTTAAGCCATGCCACATATCCGACCGAGATTGGGAAAAGCAAAGCCCTCTTGAAATCTTTTTCATACAGCTCCTCTTATTCGATTGTAAAAATAGGACTATCAACTGAGCTGGCATCTGGTACACTGTCTGTGATGGAATCAGAACTGGGTACATTTGGCAAGTTTCAACAGTCTTAAAGTTTGACATTCTACTTGCTACAAGTGCTTCGGTGAATTGGGCCATACGTCTATCCTAAGGTTAAGTGGGAACAGTCCACATTTCCAAAAGCCACTCATATATTTAAAGTAGTAAAAGAGATAGGCCAACCCTCAGCTACAGGTGCTAATAAAACATCAGCTGTGACAACTCGTCCAGGATGCTTTGAAATGTAACTGTAACATGGCTTGAGAAATTAGTCTTAAATGATCTAAAACTCACCAACATCCAGTAGTTGAAGAATATGCGTGATTTGGAATGGGATGGCAAACAGCATATGAATATTAGTTTCCTTTGCAAATTCAATAGCATCAATAGATTTGTGTGTTGCATGTCCATCTTAAATCAATGGCACTGGTTGGGTGGAGGTATATTTGATACAAAACACTTCAGCCAATCAAGAAATATATATCTAAGTTAATTATCCATTATGACTAGTTCGAAATAATGTATTTGGAAAGGTTCCATTTCTACAAGAATCAGTTACAGCTCTTGGGATACACCATTAAAAGTGGCCAAACATATCCAGACGCTAAAACACATGCAAGAACAGTGTGTAACTTTTCTCTTTCTGCTAAAAAAATGGAATATACTGTTTGCACTGGACTTGAGCAATGAGGACAATGCAATAGAGACTCCAGTTGCATCAGCATTATATATTTGGTTTGGCTTTGAGTATAAGTTTAATCTGCCATACAATGCTCCAACTTTTCCAAAGAATTCATCAGGAGAAGCTGAAACAGCTCTGCTATATGATTATGGTAAGAGAGTACAAATGGTAAGTTCAGGATGGCGTCTTCAAAAACCTTTGAACCATGACCTCACAGCAGATTCCCCAGTAAATGAATGCTTGCGACTTGTCTTCTCTGCAATCAACAAAAATAGGTCCAATAACCCTTTGTCTTAAAGTCTCCACTGGAACATTATATAGTTGTGCAGCCACTCTCAGGTTTCTCTCTTCTGTTACACAGGAGACATTGGCTTGCATTGAAATATTTGACCAAACTTAGAAGCCATCTAAAACGCACACTACTTAGTGAATGTGGGTGGGCACTGTTTTAGAATATATTCAATTCATTGATGCTAAATTCAGTACTCCATTGTAATATTAAAGTTGACAGAAAGATAATGTGTAAGAAAGATGCAAAAAGGCCAAGTGACTTAGTTTTGATAAACCTTAGTCATGGTTACATTATTAACACGTTTACATATGCACAAGCACTAGTAACAACTGCTTACCATGTACTGTATACTGAGTAATAGAAACAGTACTACTCAAAGTTAAGCTAGACAGAGCTAGGTTTTATTATGGTTTTCAGTACTTCACAACTTCAGTACTTCACAACTGGGCAATGCGCTTAAATAATTTGCAGGTTGAATGGCGTGGCAATTAGTTGAATAATTAAAACTTAAAAATTATTTCATTGCTCAAAAAATGCTTTTTTGAAACTTTTGCTTATCAGCATTTAGAAACTTGTGAAAGCATCATATATTTAAAATTTTTTTAGAATTTTGTTCCATTGTCTCATAAAAGTACTGTGTCATGTTTTGGCCACATTCTATACAATGAAACAGATGAAAAGTGAGTCAAACACTAAACATGTTTTCAAAAACTAACATCAAATGAGTTTGATGAGTGACTCTTGGTATAAACTGTACCATAAATTTAAAAAAGAAGCAAGTAAAAAATACACTAAGCATCATATTAAAACCAATGTCAAATAATAAAACCCAGTCTCATGAGTCACTTTAAGGACACGACACACGATGATAGTGGCATAGGAGAAACTAATCTGAAGTGGAACATTGAACATCATTTTAAGAAAACAACCTCAGATGTTGAAACTCAATCAATCCAGGTATGAACTACATTATAAAACTTAAAGGAATAGTTAGAAGTCAAAAGCACATGAAATATAATTTTAAAACTTAGTTTGATCACTCACTTATAGTGTACACCATACTATAAAACTGAGAAGAAAAGGAACAAATATATAAGAACTGAGTCTGAGGAGACACTCCTCATATAAACTATACTATGAAAGTGAGAAAAGAAGAAACAAATTGTGGGAAATTAGTAGTTTATGAAAACAATTTTAAAATCAATATCAATTGACAAGAAATGTCTTCTCTGACTCATAGTATAAAGTGTACCCTAAAACTAAAAAAAGTAAGAAATTGAGAAGTGAAAAGTTCACAAAACATTAATTTAGAACAAAGCCCAAGTAATGAAATGATTTGTGGTATGATTTTTGCAATGATTTTTCATGTTTTACTATCTTCTCACTCTTTGTTCTTCTGTCCTCAGTTTCATACTTTAGTTTATACCAGGAGTGAGTGATCATAGAGTTATCAATTGTGGTTCGTTTTAAAGTGATGCTTTATACACTACTTATATCACAGTATGTTTCTTTGCTCACTTTTAAAGTATAGTTTTTACCAAGTGACTGATCAGGTTCAGTTCTTATCATTTGAGGTTAGTTTCAAAATGATATACTAACTTCTCACTATTAATTTCAAAATATAGTTTGAAGTACTAGAAGTGACTTATCAGATTGAGTTCTTTATATTATTATACTCAATTCTCATTGGTTCCTTCTTTTCTCAAATGCATTGTCATTTATACCAGGACTGAGTGATCAGAAAGTTCTCATCATTTAAAGTAGGTTTTAACATGATAATTTATAAACATTTTCTTAAACTATTTGCTTCCTTTTCCTGAGTCATGGTGAAGTTTTTTTTACCTAGATTGACCAAATTCTTGAAGTCATTTAAGATTGTTTTGTAAAATTATGCGTCATTTTCCTTTCGCTTCAGATTTGTTTTTTCTTTTCCAAGTTTGATATACTGTATACCTGAACTTCAGATGTCTATGTATTACTCACTTTTGATCTGTTGCTTCTTTTTGTAGTATATACTGCAGTATCAGACTGAGTTGGTTTTTTCTAGAAGAAAGGTTTTATGTTTTACTTCTCCCTATTTGTTTCTTGTCTTCTAAGTTAATAAAGTTTAAACCTACAGTGATTGATAAGACAGAATTCTAGTTATGTTTCCTGTTCTACTTGTCACTATTTGCTTCCTTGCACAGTTTCATGGTAAAATTTGTACCATTAGTGACTGATCAGACTGAGTTCTTGTCATTTAACTTTGGTTTTAAAATGACGTTTTATGTACTACTGACTTACTATTTTTCTTTCATTTTCAGTTTCACAGTATAGTTTATAGAAATAGTGACTGATGAGACTAAATTTTAACATAAGGTGGTTTTTGAAAAAATGTTTGATGTTTCACTCACATCACATTTATTTGTCCTTTTTCCAGTTTCATACTTTGGTTTATACACCTAATGTGACAGATCATTTATCATTTGAGCTCTTTCAAATAATGATAATCTCTACCTCAAATTGCTAAAGCTATGTACATAATTAGAAAAATGTTCCTTATTCATTAAATATAGTGAGTTCATAACTTTGAATTATTTAATAAACATAAGTCTATTACAATTATAACTTCTTATAACGTATTGTCGAGTTTGAAATAGGCATGGCTTTAGTTTAGGCTACACATCATACCTAATTTGTCATAGTCAACCATTATTTTCCTGTAATTAGTTGTGTAGACTAATAATTAGCAAACACTAAGGTTTGGCTATGCGAGGCAATTTGGATGATACTAATTAATTCATTGTAAATCAATAGACCAATAGCTATAGCTAGTGATTCCTTGTAGCATTAATTGTTTTGCAATAGCTACTTATATCATGTGTTGGTATCATTTATGCTAGTCTCACTAATGTTGCATGCATTTCATTATTATATTAATTGTGATACCAAGATTGACATGACAATAATACACATTTCCCCACCTGCATCAGCCGCCACATTGCGAAACAATAGTCAAAAAGGGAAGGAGTCTGGCTACGTGAGACTAGCGAATCAATGGAATTGACGGCCTCCGACCCATTATTTTCATATGTAATACACAATCACCATAATAATAATAATAAAATTTCACATTAAACTGAAAAAATTACTGTTATTACGAAGCTCCTATAGCTGTCACAATAATTTGTAAAGCAGAGTCACAGCTACCCCCGCGCATGCTCAGTGCAAGGTGTAAGTCAGTGACATGTGATAGAGTAGTCACAGCATTGAAGACCATCGTTACAGTCTCCATTAAAAATGTCAAACGCTTCCACTTCTTTAAGTCATGGTCATAGGTTGTCAAGTCCACCATGGCGAGTTACTTTGAGATGCAACAGGCGTAGGAATGAACTACTGCTATCCCAGGTTAATACTAAAAATTTAAAAAGAATGTTCCAAGTGGATGCACAAGAAGTTTATCTAAAGAATGATTTGACAGATCGATCTTTTTTCCCAGACAATGATGGGTATTTTTCAGCACTTACAGATGTGGTTAATGATAATTACGCCGAGTTCATTGTAGGACCTGAATCAACCGACTCTCCAGCTCATCCCCATACTCACAGAGCTTCTACTTCTATGACTACTACAAGCACAGCACCTGGCATGCCTCCTTCTTTCAGATCTGTAGTGAATCCTCCTAGCTCTACTACCATGAAGTCGCCTACCTTTTCTCTATGAATTATAAGAGCAAGAATGCAAAAGGCTAAAAATAAGAAAATGGAGTTTGACATTACGGGTGCAACACATTTTGATAATACTGACGATGCAGCAAATATAGGATGCATTTTAGACTGTGTCAAAAGAAGATGGGGCGAGGAATACATTATTGTAGCAAGTGATGGCATTGAATTTGAAGACTCGCTGAGTACTAGAGGTATTTCATAAAGTTATTATTTGGGCCTGTGTGATGTGTAGAAAGATTCAAACCTTATTATAATATATCCACTATCTAAATTTTTGAAATCTCTAAAATTTTTATTATAGGACTACAATTTTGCATATGTCCCAGTCAAAAGCTATACGCAGTCACTTCAAAGGACCTCAAAAATTCTAAAAAGGAATCTGGATCTATGATAGTCCTCAGCGATTCAGACGATGATTTTGATCCCCCACCATGTAAAAAGAAGTGTAACTCTACACAAAATAATCATGAAAAATTACACAATGCTGTTTTGAAAGAACTATCTGGCATAAAAGAAAGCATAATAGAAATGATGACCCTTCAAAAGACCACCAGGGTCCCTCTCAGTTTGCTGAAGACAATGAGAGACACGTTTCAGTGTAGCATTTGCCTTGTAGCTCCAGCAACACCTTCTGAAATAGTCACAAAATGCTGTAAGACTGTTCTTGGTTGCTCAACTTGTGTTGATGCATGGTACAGTGGTCAGGAAGCATCGACTAAGTCATGCCCAAATTGCAGGGCACCACGAGGATATTATGAAACCATGCTTCTACATGGCTTGGACGATTTCATGACTAAAACAGTTCCTACTGGAAGTACCTGAAGATGTTGAAATAATAAATTTAATAGACTATAAATGGACACTAAAAGTCAATTTGATTGACAAATTTAATTAATCATCTTTAAATTACTAAATATTGATTGAAAAAACAAAAATAACTCTTTGCTAAAAACGCAAACATTTAATGTAAAAATTAAATGCATACATAAATTATTCCTTTCTTGATACTAGGACTGAATAATGGAGCTACATAACATTTTAACATTATAATTCTTCTAATTTAAAAAAGGTGTAAAAACAATCAAAATAATAGTTACTGTCAAATTTAAATAGTATAATAGCACTGTCAACTGATTAAGAGCAATACCATTTCTTTTAAGTTAAGACATGGCGATAAACATGTACAACAAATACAGACGGATCTTCTGCCAACAATCTGTGTATAAAAACTAGAAAGATATAAAACAAAGTTTATGATTCAGTACAATTATATCAACCATATTAATTTATAATACTTTACCGTATTTCCTTTATTAACACTTGTATTATGTACAATTAGTCTATGATGCATGTACAGAATACTTCAAATTAAAGTGTATTGTTTTTCGTTAAATTTGATTTCAGCCACTGGAATATGTAAACCATGATGCATTACATGTATATCTCTACCAAATGGCTCATAAAATAAACAATAATGTTATTAATTACTGTTAAGTAAAGTATGTAAATAAAGTAGTAAGTATGTGAAGTTGGTAAGTGAAGTATTACCATACCTACCCGCACACATCATTTTGATTTCAACATGTCACAGTAAAAAATTACGAATTCGAGGCTAATACGGCTTACAGCAAATGCCAAAGTGAAAAATAATGCTAATGTCTATAATAGTAATTGGCAATGTTGTTTGTAAGCATTAAAGATATCAGAGTGAGGGAATTTAGTTGTACATTTTGTAACAAGGAGATTATGTGTGATTAGGAATATAAAAGAATTACAAAAAGCACAAAGATGCATGAATAAAAATTGTCCTAAGATTGATTTCACCACCTTGCGCGCATAGTAAGCATTTATTTCTTCTTACTAAGACTTATAAAGGTTTTTTCTACCTTATAGTGATTCTTGAAAAGTCTTTAGGCATCATCTTTGCTTTATTCTTCTTGCTAGAAAGCTCATAACTTTGTTCTGCTTCCAAGCCGCCATTTTGTTTACCGTGGCCACACCCACTTATGTGAGGGGGCTGGGTGGAGCATTGATAAGTGAGTCATAATTGTTATTTCTCCAATACAACGTGTATAGAAGACAAGAAGAAATGTAAGTTTTGACATACAATCAATTATTTTACATCGTGGGGGCTGAATTCAATCTTAGGAGCGACTCGGGGCGTAAAAAAAGATAACGTATAACATTAATTTGTATTTTAATGTGTACCAAAAAAACTAAACTAAAATCAGCAAGTTGTGTAAAATGAAATGATGGTAACCTGAAAGTTAGTAACGACAAAATAATTAAGTTGATGCTTATAATTGAAAAGTAAAATATTATATCATAGAAACTAAAGTTAATGAAACTGGATAGGAAACTCCTGTTCCTGGAAAATCAAGCTACATACGCTAGTTACGTCATAAATTGAGTCAGATACTCAAAGATCATTAGGCTGTTTATACTTTATAACATGGCTGCTATGGGCAGACTAACCAGACTATGCCTTAACTCCAACCTTAATTGTAATAGCAAAAGAATCAATTATTTTATATCGTGGGGGCTGAATTCAATCTTAGGAGCGACCTTGGGGCGTTAAAAAAGATAACGTATAACATTAATTTGTATTAATTTTTAATGTGTACCAAAAAAACTAAACTAAAATCAGCAAGTTGTGTAAAATGAAATGATGGTAACCTGAAAGTTAGTAACGACAAAATAATTAAGTTGATGCTTATAATTGAAAAGTAAAATATTATATCATAAAAACTAAAGTTAATGAAACTGGATAGGAAACTCCTGTTCCTGGAAAATCAAGCTACATACACTAGTTACGTCATAAATTGAGTCAGATACTCAAAGATCATTAGGCTGTTTATACTTTATACCATGGCTGCTATGGGCAGACTAACCAGACTAGGCCTTAACTCCAAACTTAATTGTAATAGCAAAAGAATTAATGCTTTGTAAGGACAAGATATTGGGCATAAAAGTAACATTCATTACTCATGCAAGCAGTGAGATAATAGTGACAAACTGAGCAAGGCAGACTTACCTATTTTTGAGCATAAAACGTTGAGAACACAAGCTTTAGGAATTACTAAAGTTGAAAGGCCTATTAATAGGTGCTTGCTTTAGGTCTTCCTTTTATAATTTTGCTTTGGAGATAATGGGGACCAACAAACACTTTAAACTTTTAATTGCTAATAAATGAAGTAAAAGAGCCTAAGTCTGACTATTTTGGCATAATAGTGGTAAAACAACCAAATGACATAGGACAGTGCAATCACTATGCAAGCATTATAGGTGAAAGTAAGTGCTACAGAGCTACAGCAAGTCTGATCAGGGGAAGTAGGTAGTTAACATTGCTACTAGGCAACCTAATAATCTTAATGGAATAATCCACTCACACAACAGGAGTTCCTATTCA